GGGCCAACTCATATCTGTGATAGTCGGCAGAATCGCTTTACCTGCACACCTGAGCTCATTCGGATGATTGCCTATTTTTGTCCTTTTAGTCCTTTTGGGACATTTTTATCCGATTTGCCCCCCTTTTTGCCTATTGTGACTTTCTGTGATCAAGACAACGCCATGTTAGCTCTTGCCTAGTATTTGGATTGTACCGAAATCAGCATAGCAACAAGACCCCTTACCGAGCAAATGCTAACGTGGTATACAAAATGTGCATCCAAAATGGAAATCAGCCATTCGTACTTTCGGCCCTTAAGGATCGACGCCATTATTTCTCTCGATATTTAATCGTTTCCAGTATCGTTGAATCCGACATGCTGTGTACCATGGCAGCCATTTTTCTCTCTTCTTTTCCTGCAAACGTTCATTTTTTATGTTTTTTAATATCCACCTTGATCTTTTGATAAAGAGAAAAATTCTATGTTGTCAAAAACTGTGGCAAAACTGTAAATCAGTTTGAGGTCTCACCTCCAGTTCAAGCGGACCCAAAATTATACATAATGGAAGGTTAATGCTGGTGATAATCTTCGTGGATTTACCCTAATTTCCGCAAGTTCTACAGTTTTCAATTTGGTGTTGTTTTCTGATACCCGCATTAGTTCGGCAACTTCTTCTACGCTTTGGCTTTTCTTACCCATTTGTTGAAGCTCCCATTTAAAACTGAGATTCTGTCCCCAGTCCAGTACCTCAATAGTAGTGAGTCGGAGAAGAGTGCCTATGCTAGAGGCATTTGGCATCGAAGTCTAATCCTCCGTCAACTAACTCATCCACTTGTAATCTAGATTGATTTGTAATAAGCAGGATGGGTTAACCGAAATATTGGAAGAGAAGTAGATAATGCAGACAATATGGACACCAAGGTGGCAAGTCCGATTTAATAACTGGAAGAAGCAGTTCCCAGCAGAAGCATACAGAAGTGACAAAGCAGTTTGCAAAGAAATAACACTTCAATTTCGTCATGAATGAAAACATCACTTGTGTACTCAACAGCTCCTCTTCTACTTCTTCGTTCTCCTTTATAAGAACCGAGTACTGCCACTTCCAACAGCAACAGCTTTAGCATCATTTACACATGGATGTGATTTTCCTGTTTCGATCTAGTAGACTTGCTCAACGTGAAAAATTCGTGTTGTTGGTTATGGCATTGAATTTGAGCACACATATGTCTATCGATGATCATACAGATTTGCCAAGAAAATTTTCTGAGGGGATTCTTTTGAGTGATAGTTTCAATTCAAAACGGGAAAGCATCACGAGCACTACCCAGAGAAATTTCTGTGGAACGTCAGAATTTGCTTGAATCTCAACAGAAGTAAAAACAAAGGTTCTGGTGCATTCGCGACATAAGATTTATGATACCGAGTATTTGATTAACCCAATATCTTCACTGTGTAGTGGAGATGTTCTTACCTCAGAATTAAAAGTATCGAACTCCTGATTCTCAAGAGCTTGAAAATCATCCACAAGTTTCTTTTCCAAACGCGCTCCTTCCAATGTAGATGCCTCAGTGTTCCCTTCAAACCCATGCCATGTCCCTCGCAATTCACATGATTTTCTATACTTGATTGCACACACACGTCAGTTCCTCTTTCATCTAATCAGCCATGGAACAAACAGTAAGTCTAACGGTGACACCAATTACCATCACTTTACTGATGACACAAGTCACAGGTGTAGCAGTAGAGACGTCAGAGGAACTTACGAACAATTTCCATCTCAGCATCCAAGTACTCATTGTATTCTACTTTGTGTTCAGCTCTTGCAGAAGCTAGTTGCTCCTCTACTTCTTTGTGATGAAAGGTTGCCTGTGATTATGCCGACAATCACTGGCATGCGTGTCATCTGAGTGTTCACCGATCGATTCTTACTGTAAAAACTCAAGAGCTCAATAATGGAGCTAACCTTTCTTCCAGATAATGAAAAGACCTAATATATTACGACAGCGGCATCCATTTTTAAATGAAGTGACTTAGACTTTTCAAACAGTCATAGAGCTGTACCATCTCAAACTGTGTTACAAGTTTTCCATAGTATGCGTCCACTATTTCTTGCTCATGCATCGAAGTAGAGAATCGCTTCATAGCCAGCGCTCGAATCTGTCATCCTTCCAGTACCCACATTCATTTTCAATTTACAAATAGGCTACTGTCAAAAAAATCCCCTGCAACCATGCCTAAATAACATTCACCAGAACACAAACTGAAACTTGCCAATGTATTCAACATTTTTCAATGAAGTCCTTGCTCTAACCAGACCTCCTTTATGAGAGAATTCAAAAACTCGTGCCAGGGCGGCTCCGGCTCTTCGCCTAGTGCCTCCATCTCCTCTACTACAAAAAATTTATTCTGGACTCAAAAACCGGAAATTTTCAACCTGATCAGTAAAAAGTACTGACTAGATAAATCCAGACAAATCCAGAGCGTGTTTTTTAAAAAAGAATGAGAACTTGCGTGATCAAAAGCGTATTAAATACCAAAGAAGAGAAAAGTTTGGGAAGAGAGTTGATAAACCTATGACAGACCTCCTTAGTTTTGACAGAGTTAGCGATGGCAACGAACTCTTTAGTATTCAAAGCAGCGCTGCCGACGAAGAACCCATCAATATCAGGCTGCCTCGCAAGGCCATTGCAAGTAGATGAGGAGACAGAGCCCCCATAAATGATCCTCACGTAGGAGGCCACATCCTCCGAGATATTCTTTCTAATCCACTCACGCATAGAAAAGTGAACCTCTTGCGCTTGCTCGGGAGTGCATGATTTGCCAGTACCAACAGCCCATACGGGTTCATAAGCCAGCACCACTTGGATCCAGTCCGGGACTTTGCTGACCAACGCTTGAAGCTGGTCGCACACAACGCCGTTTGTGAGATTCGATCCCCTACAGTGATGATCACACCCAAACCTCGAGACAATGCATACGCGGCTTTGCGAGAGACCATGGAATTCGTCTCCCCCATGAAGTGTCTGCGCTCAGCATGTCCCAACACTACCCACTTCACGCCCACATCGACCAGCTGATCAGCACAAATCTCTCCTGTAATTGCACCTCCTTTGCCAGTCCAGCAGTTTTGGGCGGCCACATCGATTCTCTTGGTTAGAGTTTCTAGCACTTGGTGGATGTACAGGAAAGGAGGACAGACGACGATTTCTACATCTTCCTCGAACTCGACCTCGTTGAGGTCATCCACAAGCTTTTTGATCGAGTCTTGAGTTCCGTTGCACTTCCAGTTGCCACCAAGGAAGAACTTGCGACCAGTGGGCACGACTTTCCTGGGGAAGATCCCAGCACCCTCCGTGTGTGCCCTAGAGAACTGATCAGAGCCAGCAACAATCTCATCACAACCGAAAACCATAAGTAAACACGACTGCGACCACGTCTGAGCAATGATAAAATCTATTGCAGCCTAAGTTGGGCATACCTCGAGGATCAAAAATTGCGAAGTGGAGTACACGAGCTCGGGAGGACAAACTACGCGATTATGAGGGAATTTTTACGCTCAGTAAGAAATGATGTATAGCAAGTCTTACTTCAAGGAAAAAGTAGCAGAGAGCCTTAGTGGAGTCCACTACTTCTTGCTGCAACTCCAGAAACTTGGAACTCTCTGCAGCCTGCCACTTCCAGTAGCAAGCGGAGTGCCATCGGAGCTTTTCATACAAATCCTGAGCTTCCCTCGCCCAAAGCAGTTTTCGCGTCATCACTCCAGCGCTAACATGGACACTCATGGACAAGCGAAACAGAGCGTTGGGCTCAGAATGATACGAGGGGAGAACTTACACTGTAAGGGAAGGTACACTTCCTATCCTCCAGCTTTGTCATTAGCCGAACTGTAACGTGTTGCAGAGCTCTGTAAGTCAAACCCTTCATCAGATGCGACGCAATAAACACAAATGAGCAGCTCAACCTTGAGCTGTATCTTAGAGGCTAATCTGTTACAAATAAGATTTGTTAACACTGTTGCGATGATGCAAACAAGGTTCAGCTTCCAGCACTAGTAGATAGGAGCTTCTGCTGCATCATTTCGAAGGTAGACTCTCACCTGACCATGGTAATGGCGTCGTCAATGAACCGAAGCAGCACGTAGCAAGAGATCAATGTCGGATTGCTGGAAATCATTGTTGTAGCCTCTTGAAATTGAAGATCCACCACCATTCCCGCGGTTCCGGCACACGCGCATCGTCCCTGAGTAGTGGTCATCGAATTCTTCACACACACCAAGCTGCATCACCATATTGTACAAATTCGAGGATGCCAGAGGAATATCTGGGCTGCGGTAATTTCAAACACCCCAGCTCAGTCAGAATTCTATGTAAGCTTCGCAACTGTAGAGCTATCTTTCGAAGGTGTTGAGAGCAATCAAGGCCAGATCAAATTTGGAAGTAATCGACTATGACAGAACGTCTGGGCGAGCACAGATAGTTGCAGTTGTGGTTAGAATAAGGTCCGTCGTGAAGGGCAGGACAGAGCCGAAGGGGAAGCCAATATAAGACAGAGTTGTATTCGTTACAGTTATGGACTCGAAAGGTCTAGTTCTTTCCTGGTCTCCGACAAGCGTTCCTACCAGTTCTGCTTGATTTTCACAAAGCTCGCTCTTTCCCCACGGACATTTGGCAGGTGTAAACAGGGATTTCTTTGAGTTGTTACTCCATGTCTCAGTCCAGGGTCGCGGAATCTTCACAATTCCTACCTAGATGTTACAACCTCGTTACAGTATGTCCAAAGGAATATCTTGCATAACCAGTTACCTCACCTTGAATATCGCATCATGACCCAAGTTTGTTTTTGAGTTTCACACCATGTGAAGGCTTCAGTTAAGATAAAGTGCGTGTTCTGTGACCAATAGACGCACTTGGTAGATAACAACGGAAGAAGAAGGATCAAGACAGGCCCAGAAACAATAATCCCCCTCTAGTACACGTTTGATCAACAATACCTGAGATGTGTGGATTTGCAGAAGAAAAATGAAGGCACGAAAAAACACAAGTAGATAAAACTCTCAACACTGTCACTGATTACAATATAGAACGTCTACAACTCGATGTGTGCAACAACAAATGTCCACTACACTACGGGTGTGAGCAACAACAAATACAGCAAAATTGAGCTGGAAGAGTCAATGCACCAGTAAATAAACATGCACACTTCACCAGCAAAGAGCCACTTTAAAATGACAACCTAGCTAGTCAAAAGGCTGCATCTAAAAAGATATCAAATTTGTCAGCTGGACGATTTCGCCTTTGGTGGACGGCCTCTCTTCTTCGGCGTTGGCGTCGTAGCGGCGGCTTCGGCAAACTGTGTTTGAGCCTCTACCGAGTCATCTTCACCCTCAGCTTCAGATTTAACCTTCGGAGGCCGACCTCTACGCTTTGGTGTAGCACCAGCCTCCTCTACTTTGGCCTTCTTCGCAACTTCCACCTCTTCTGCAGCTTCAGGTTTAGCCTTCGGTGGCCTACCCCTGCGTTTCGGGGTTAGAGGACTAGCTAGATCAGCTTCACCTGCAGCCGGCTTGCCACCCTTGCCTCCCGAGGCAGGAGCCTCTTCCGAAGACTTGCTGACTGATTCCTTAGAAGCATCTGTTTTTGCCTTCGGAGGTCGGCCTCTTCGTTTGGCAGGCTCACTATCCTTTCCACCTTCCTCTCCATCGCTAGCGCGAGAGGGAGTTTTCAGCTTCGGAGGTCTACCCCGCTTCTTTGCTCCTGGAGCCGCAGCAGGACTGGCGGTCGCATGACTCTTAGCTGAGCTGTCGCCTTTGTTTTTCGGAGGTCTTCCCCTGCCACGCTTCGGTGTTTCGGTGACGCCCGTTTTCACCCCGCTCGCCCCTTTTTCAGCTGCTGACCCTTCGGTGACTTCCTCTACATTCTCACCGTCGGAATCAGGGTCTGTCACCGCATCCTCGTCAATAGCTTGACTCGTCTTAGCACCTTTCAGCTCAGGTCCAGTATACTTCTGTATGTTGGGAACGAATACTGACGTCTGGAACAATCACTTAACTTGTTAGCAAATCTAGAAAAGATTTCGAACTTGAAGTTACAATCCACATCAGCTGAGGATACTGAGATTAAGACCAAGCGCTTTACGGTTAAATAAAAAACCACTTACCCTTCCGCTGAAGCTTATCGTCTCAATCTGATTTCCTGCAAGAATCAGAGATGGAATAAAATACATAGCTTACATTGAAGAACGAAAGAGTGGTAACATTCCAGGAGGTGGCGACAACTATTCACTACTAATACTACTCTCAGACGGCAATCAGGCATGGAATAAAAATTGCTCGTATACCATCAATCATTCCAAGCTTCTTGTCCCCAAGATGATGACAAAGCCAACTTCGAGGATATTGCTCCTTATCTCCATCAACGGAAACCGCCTTATCCAAAACCTTCAGTCAATTCCCCAGTGTAAACCAGCGACAGCTAAAATCAGTTGGTCTAAAAGAATACAAATAGCATCAGAGTAATATTACATAGGCACACTTCAGGTGTTCGGGTTCCGGACACAACTATCATGCAGAAATCCATACGGGTGATCCTTCACAGTAAAGCTGATGCGTTTAATAACGAAAGGTGAAGAGCAACACACTTGAATGCAACAAAACTGCAGGGTACAAACATAATTAATCTATAACAATTAAAAATCAATCTAATCATAGCTCACTGCAAACAATTTGATTGCTTTCAGCTGAGCACATACCTCCCTGATGGCTGTGTGTAATTTGGCAACTTGCTCCTCCGTCAATGAATTAACCGACTGTTCAGGATGTATTTTTGCCTACGAGAAAATTATTTAAATAGTAAGATCAAAGCACTTTACAGAGGTTATGTTACAAACTCCCCTTCATGAAGAATACTACACCACACATATACAAGATATTGAAGTAATTCATAGAGAGGCCTTCGCATCTGTTAGCATGGTACACGCTCATGACATGAGAACTGTTATCATGGCACCGCCACATTATCATGATCTCCAGGAACGACAAAGCTGACATGGCTCAGAGTGAGGCACAGCAAATGTGTCTTAAATATGACCCGAGGAAATCTCCAATATAAAATTAAAAATACTACCAGGTTAGAGGAGTATAGAAACATACCTGAAACAGCACTTCATCTCCCACCCAATTTCCTATGCCTGAAAGAAAACTCTGCAATCACAGACACACTCCCACAAACTCTTCTTCAATACCAAGATTGCACACGCGCGCGCGCGCCCAAACAAAACAAACAAAAACAAAACTGAGAAGGGGAAAACGAGTAAAAAAGATGTGATATAGATCATCTCTCGAAGTTCTTAAAAGTCAGCAACTATCTTACAAAATTTTCACTGCTGTCCAGTACCTGATCAAGAAGAAGAGCTTTCACAGATCCTTTCTTGGTTTTCAATGCTTCAGTAAACTGCTCCGCATTTGGAAGCTCAAGATAGGCATCGAATCCTAGCTCGGAAATGGGCGGCGCTATCGAAGGCTGCAAAATTCATGTCAAGAAACAATCATGATAAGTCTTTACTCTGTACTCTACGCAAAGTATGATATAGTACACAAATCAAAGAACTAAAGTTTACGAAGAAAAAGTGCTTTATCCATATGAAGGCCACAACTTCGGCAGGGGAAACAAACTTGACATAAAGGTTTAAGAACACGTACATTATCAAGGAGGCGTACGCGGCCAAAGCGAAGTTTGTCAGTAAATGCCACCTCCACTCCGTTGTCCAGCTGAATTCCACCAGCAAACTCTAAACGTGTCATTAACCCAACACCACCAACATACTCACAACTGTAGGACTCAAACCATGATTTTCGAACATGGATATTGAAAGAATTGAAAGGGCACAACACACAGCACCCTACTAGAATACAATACTGACTCACGTGTGACATCGTACTAAAATGAACAACATTCACAGGAATAATGATAATACAATACATCCACAACCATCAATATCTCATTCAAAACTACCAACTCCAAACATGTACAATAGCAATGATCTGAAACATCATTTGCTTCATTTCAGATCTCAAATTGTTCGAGTTACAGGAATATCGTATTCTGTGACTAGATTCTAGATTATGCATTTTAAACAGACAGATAGACTTATTGAGGGTAAAGGCCAACAAAAACCTCATTCCAAAAGGCCGACGCCGGCACGACAGAACAACCTAAACAACGAATGTCAACGCTTCTAATTGCGACAGGCTGGGTTAAAGGGCTAAGTCAGATCCGCTAGAGTGACGTGGGCAGACAAAAACATCCATTGGCATTATTGAAACGTAGGTGAATCTCTCTCTCTCTAGCTCTCTCTCTCTCTCTCTCTCTCTCTCTCTCTCTCCAACGCACGCACGCACAAACAATTCGCTTCCAAATTATTAGATAACAGAAGAGGTAAGGAATGCACACCTGCAAAAGTACTTTCGAGTGAGTTGTCGGAAACGCTTCTTCTTCGTCGCTCACTTTGGGGCTGCAACATTCAATCGAATACGCTCATTCTAGTGACCAGACTTAGGTGCGATAAAAGCATGTAAGACCGAAAAACACTAGATACGATTCCTCGAAATTAGCTGACACCCTATTAAACGTTCCCCCCTGATATACAAGTTAAGAGAATCAGATCTCATGTCTCCCAATAGACCAATTAACTCAAGAACTCTAGTGAGTCCCAAGAAATCTGAAATCCTTAGTCAATTCGATCACCTGTATGTAACAGTGTCCAAAGGCAACTTGTGCTGAAAAAGGCGTCTATTTGGAATACTCGTGTTCTGTTTATATTGTTCGCTTTTCTATTCAGTCCTGGCTCGCTACACTGGACTAAAAGAAATTGAAAAGTTTACACTCGGCATCGACGCACCAAACCCCATATGTTCCTACAGTGCAGTTTCAGGAAAAGTGGCGTAACAGCTTATTCAGAACACAGAATGAATCGTACTTACCTCCTATACTGTGAGCCCTTGGCACCCTTGACAATGAACGCACTGCTCGTGTCTGCACAGTAACGTCCATCAGCAAGATACGAGAGCAAAAGTTCTGTACTGGAAGAACGCCAAGAATAAGAGCAAACAAGGCTTTTGGCTTAACACACATTGCACCTCGGCCATAGAAAGCGAGAGCTTCATTCACCAAAATATAAAAAGTTGAATAGTTAAGCAGGCTGTAAGAGCCATCCTCATTAGAGTCTCCTCTACTAGCACGGAATACTAAGTATGATAGGCCATAAAAACAAGTGATGAGAACTTCTACCCATATCTGAAGGACTTAAATAATGCTGCTCAAAAAAACAACAACAAAAAGCGATTACGACAAAAATAAAAACACAAACAAGAACAAAACAGAGAAAAAGGATCGATAGTAACAAAGTTCAGGAGGCACTCACCGAACTGGTAGGAGGGCCACGGACGAGAATCGAGTTGCAGCCAAATATGCTTGCCCTCTCGAAGGGCGCTTACAATCTTTTTACCCGTCAGAGTTTCCTGGAGCACAGCCGGCGTCACTCCATCGATAACTTTAGTGTCGTTGTCCACAATGGCCTTCACTATCGTCGCCCCAAGGCAGTGGCAGTTCACCAGCCTTTTGGCCGCCTCCACCTCTGGTAGCTCAGCCATCTCGAGCCCGTTCCAAAATTCTTCCTCCCCCTACCCAAAAAAAACAAAAACTACGACTTCCGCTCCCCTCGAACCAGTCACTTGTCTTCCAAACGTTCGGGAAACCCCAGGAAAAGAAACACCTCCAACCCCTTCCCACAAGGATCCCTGTTCTACCTTCAAGCCAGAGCACCAAAGTAAGCACCGCTTTCCGCTAACAAGCAGCAATAGCGCCTCGGTGACGCGACAACAGCCATAAATATTCTCCCACGAAACAAATCCCTCGGCCCCTCGGTTTCAAGTCACACCAGACAACATCCACCACACCGAGGCGACAACAGCATGGACCCCCCACGAAAAAGAATGCCCGCCTCTAGCAACAATCTCGGATTCCGCAAGTCGTGATCTAGCTCTAATCCGTCCTGAAGATGGACACGGCGACAAGCCAGTGCCTTCCGGGGCGAAACCAAAACCTCACACACGCTGGCGCCCGCCCTCCTCACCACCACACCGCAAGTTCAAAATGCTCACGGTTGGAGGCAGAGGAAGGGGGAAGGGAGGGTGAAACCTCTCTCTCTCTCTCTCTCCCTCTCTGGGTTTGCTGTTTTAGTGGTAACAAGGGAATATAGGAGGGAAAAGGGAGGGAGTAGTAATACTACTACTACTACTACAACTGTGTGTGTTTGTGTGTGTGTGTGTGTTGTGACCCAAGTAAAGTGATTCCAGCTCCTCCGTCTGCGCTCACCTCTCCTCTCCTCCTCGACTCGCTTCGTCCCACCTCGGCTCGAGAATCATTACACCGCCCTCGGTGTGTCGAAGAAGAAGACGTGGAAAGTGGACGATGGGTGGATTCCCGCCCTTCTCCCCCACCCCCTACTGCTACTGCTACTAAGATTACTGTTACTACTACCACTGCTTATGCCCCTCTCTCTCTCACCGCACTCTCTCTCTCTCTAGTCGCGGCGACCTAAAATGCGCCCGGCTGTTCCGGAATTTGGAATTCCCGCCCTGCGGCAACACCATCTCCTTGGTCTTCGTCTTCTCCTGGTCCTGCCCATCCCCGTTTCCCTCCCTCCTCCGCATACCCGTGCGAGTCCTGCACTCTCGGCATCATTACCAAGCTCTCCCACACTCTTCTTCCTGATCATGACACGTCAGTGCAGTTCTCGTACCTCCCCACCTTGCCATCCTTCCTTCCTTCCTGCCCTGCCCTGCCTGCGACCCACCGACGAAGATTGCTTGCATACTCTCTAAGATGGATCGGCTATGTTTAGGTTCTTCACCCTCCCCCCCTGACAATGACCTACCCAACTTAACCTTACGTTTGTTTCCGGTTTGTGTGTGTGTGTGTGTTCCGGTTGCTTCCTCATGTTCTGAGGAGCTCGTGGATTTCTCCTCGTTTCTCTTCATGCGGTGCATGGTGTCGGAGATTTTTCCTCGTTCGCTTGTAGGAGGATAATGTGGGTAGAGGGGTGAGGGTGTGTGCGTGTGTGAGTTGATTGGCCTTGCCGACGGAAGATCATGTTCTTATTTGAGGTGGGCTGGTGGTGGATTTGAGCATGGTTGTATGTTTGAGTTTCGACTGCGAGAGCAAGAATTGTCGCCACCGATGTCCGGTTTGCAGATTAATGCCTTCGACTGCAGCCAGGTTGTATGATGTGAGAGATCGTAGCCTCACTGCGGGCTGTGCATCGCCGTAGAATCTAGAAGAGTGATTGAAATTCTTCCGTGGTATTTGTAGGTACCATTCTGGGTTCCATAAATGAGGTACGAGTTCGGTACCATTCCATGTCCCCGACTGGTATCATGTATAAGGTGATCGGTCATGTTCCTACCTTCCGTACGATGTCAGCCAATGAGTGCCTGCTGCTGCTATTGTCCAAATATGTGAACAGTGAGTGCTTAGTACTTTGAGCATTTCGCTCTCGCTGTAACTTCTCTACCCGTTTCATGCGATTGCATGGAATTGGTTTGCATTTTGGAGAGCTGACTCTTCTTCTTCTTTTTTAATCTTTATTTCCCTTTTTGCCCCCAATTTCTGACGTTGGTTCCACTCTGTAATTCCGCATTGATTGTTGCCTTTTACGGCACTATCAGATGAATTTCGTCTTTTGGAGCTTTTACTTACGAATTGTCTAATCGCTAATTATAGCAATGAGGAAGTCATGGAATCTGCATAGAAACAAGCAATCTGAAAGAATCCGGGATTGTGTCATCATAGCAAACACAGGCCCTTAACGTCCAATTGGTGGCGAAATAAAACTAAAAACTGAAAAGTCTAGTACTGGAGAAGGCAGTGAACTCACAGGCAGCTGGCTGAAATATTCCGTCAAAACATAACGATAAACAACAAACCTGTTTTCTATACTATCCGGCGATGTTCTCCCATCTGAGGACGGCTTGGTCGATTCAAAGCAGAAGCAGATTTAGATCAAACTCCCGATGGAGAAGGGTTTTACCTCGACATAATTCCAAGGAAGATTCCAAAGCTGAAAGTTGATGGAACATTTATAAATATTTTGACTTCATATCAAGTCTTGTACTGTATTTAGTGTGTGCGAAATGATGAACTTCAGCCTGATTTTAGAATTCCTTTATTTTTTTTAAAGTTTAAAGCTCATACACTATTTCCAGCTCATTTACCAATGATGGGAGTACATTAATCCTTGCCTTTATTTCAAATCAGTTTCAAATTCTAGTACAAAGAAGCCTTGGGTCCATTTTATGTTGTGAAACATTAGATTGAAAAACATAAGAATTGTTGTCAGATCGCAAAGGAATTATAAGTGTACAATGATTTTAATTTTAAAAAAATGTTACACATGCAAGCTTTTGCAATAAGACGATTATATGTGTAAATTTAGTATTTTCCATAGCAAAAAATGTGAAATATGGTCTCAAAAGTTTTGAGAATTGATATAAACTGTGAGCTTTTTAGACAAACGCAGCCTAATGTCAACCATTCACAGACGAATTTTTTTCTGACTTCGTACAGAGAAATCGCTATCAAAAAAACCCATCAAGGTTTTTATTGATGAGCAATAAGGGTTGTACTGAATTGTGTGGATACGGATCATCTTCTGCGCAGTAGTGGTTATTTCAACGAGAGAGGTGAAGGACAATGCAGCAGCGCAACAGTGTGCTCTACATTTGAAGATGTCGAATGTGGATATGCGTTCTTCACCCAACCTGGAGTACGAACGGGATAGAATACCGCCTGCGCATTCAGAAGGTTGATCCCTTTCTTTCCCGCTACAGATTCATGGTGATGAAAAGGCACGATTGCAGCAGCGTGATTCCTTCCCACACAGTTTGCTTATCTTGATGTAGGCACGTGATAGCACATCATGGGACTTGTCTCAAGGGTAATTTCGTGGTGAGGCGATTCATCTGGTGCAGCAATGTGGATCATAACAAAACATGCTGTGCTCATCATTGTCGGGTCTGTGACTGCTCTGCTTTGACTTCTCAGCTACAATTTAACTTGTTAGTACCTCACGCGAATGTACAACGAAACACAGATTGAAGTCATAAAGCAGAGGTATAAAGGCCTTGGAACAAAATGATGGTTTGGCCATACCTGCAGAGCGATTAAGGCAGGGGATCTGTAACAAATATGAAAGTAATATAAAAATAAGTACAATTATTCGTGAATTTGGAGAGAAATTAATACATTGGCAAATGTGGGTTACGATTACTGAATTGAAGACTGAAAACCTGGAGGAACTTCAGGTACTTTACTAAAGCTCCACCATGCTTTCAACTTGCATCGACCTCGGTATCGCATTAGAGGATGTATCCCGACTTATATGCTGTTGCTAGTTTTATTTCAAACAGTTTTCGAAGTCACGTCACCCTGGCCGTTGTATAAACTTAGTATAGAATGAATATATACAATATCCTGAATCCTTGAAGACCCTCATAGTGATAACAAAGAAGGCAAAAAATCTCCGCATACTAGTCACAGCTTTCTGCAGCAGGTTCCCGTGTAGAAATGGCCCTCACAGCTACAGCGTCTATCTTTTTAAGTGCACGCGGGCAAAAACCGATCCCCGAACCGGAGCATCAGGAGCATCCTTAATTCTTGTCAGAATGTTTGCTCTAACATTGTTGATCATAGTAACATGAGAACGCACACTTTCATTCTCACCCAACAAGGGCTTATTACCTGTACGTAGTCAAGCACAGATAAAGAGCACCTGGTACAAAATGCTCCCACAGCAATCTGTGTAAAAGTGGGAGTGTCTCGGAAGGCAAGGACAATGCAGCCGAGGGCTTAACAATATCCACTGGATTGAAGAAGCCTGAGCATTGATACCCACATTTCATCAACTTCGCATGCGCTTACATCTAAGATGCTGATGCAGTCATCTACCAAACTATCTCAAGATGCAGGTAATAACAATAGTTTACCTTCCTCATACTCTCACGCTGTCGTCAAATCTCAAGTTACTATATCCTTTAAGTTCCTCGTGAACTTCGAAATCCCAAGTTCTGTATTCTCAGCAACAAACCTTTTCATCGCTCCATCAAACCCGAAAACTCACCGAAAGTTGACATAAGGGTTCAATGGTCGTAGCAAAATCATTGCCGGCACAGGTGATAACCTTCAATGCTGCTTAGCAAGACATGAAAGCATCCATTCGGCTGTTTAGGTTAGCTACGAAAGAAATCCCACGAAGTTCAAACAATGGTGCATCTGCATCCCTGATCTCCCAGCCAGGCAGCACCTATCCATGAGACGATGTCAATTCGCTCAACTCTCTCACGCTCAACGCACCCATTCAGTCTATTCTCACAGACAACCTCACTCCACCCCATGCGTTGAGCTCATGATTTCCAATTTTTTTAAAAAAAACACACACACACGAAAAAGGAGCCCGTTCCTTCAGAGATCGGAATCAACATCAAAGCCTCATGTCCAAATTCGGGCAACATGCACACACAATCAAGCTGCCTTCGAAAACAGACCCACCATCTCGCACTTCAAAGTTACAGACCGCCGAGAACCAACTTCATACTCTCTCGGCACAGTACAGAAGAGATGCAAATTGTGGATACAGGCAGGGACTCTCCGTGAACAACAATGCCGTCTCTGAATGCAAACCTTGCAAAATCTGGGCTGAGTCAGTAGCAACGAGAGTGTATGTTTGTGTGTGTGTGTGTGCCTGTATGTGTGTTAGAACGGCGATGAAGATTCCCATTGTGAGTTGTGGCGTTATGGCCAAATGCTTCACTCTCGACAGAGCGAGCCACGCACTTCCAGTGCTATAATCGCATCGACGAACACGACGAAAACGACGAGATATCGTGGAAGATAGAGAAACGGCAGATTCTTTCATATATATCTATATATATATACATACACACAAACAAACACATTTTGAAACACACCGGCCTCGTAAATGGAGCGGTATTCGGCGCGAGGGAGGTGACCGGGGGTGGGGGTGACCCCGCCACCCTCATCAAGCCTTTCTGCCTATGTGGCACTGACGATGCGACGGTGGAGGGGATCCCGTTGAGAACGAGGATGAGTACCATAGTTCCTGTCTTTGGCTTGGGAATTCCTTGAATTAGAATAATAATTATACTAATATGTTATAAAATTCTGTGCATGTACCTGTGCTAATTTTCACTGTGGTTATCAATTGGTTAACGCGGGAAAATAATTTTTTATCATACCATTGATGAGGAAGATGCAAAAAAACATTAAAAAAAATGTTGGTGATGATTGGCAGAAGTTAATCATACAATTGAAATGTTGATAGGAATTCAAGTATACAACGAAATGTGCATCAAAATGTATTATGAAAAACAAAAACAAAAAAAAAAACTCAATCAGCAAACTGGGTCATATATTTTTATATCTATATAAGACAGTTTGGATATAACACAAAGAGACAGAGAAGCCTTTTGATTGGTTGTGAAGAAGGAAACGCAAGGAACGCATGGAACTTGAGGATTATGGGAACCAAAGAACTTAGGAAAGATAAATCAAGGGAACGAGGGAACATCAGAACCAGGGAACATGGGAACAAAGAGGCATGGATGAGTGAGGGAATGATCGAATGTGCCAAAGGTTGTAGTGCCCAATGGAAGGGTTTCCACTCGTGTGTTTGAGTATATATATATATATATATATATCAGAACTACCATTATCATAAATATGATACTTTAGAATAAAACGAAACAAAAAATAAGTCAAGGTAGCAAAAAAAAATGAGTGGTTTCAAGTACAAACACATTATTAGTTGAAACCTGTAAAGCTGATTGTTTGAATATATATATATATATATATATCAATGAATATGGAAGGAAAAATATTCTAATTTATACACAAATATAAATAAATAAATAGATAAGTAAGTAAACTATAGTGTCATGCTAACATGTAGCATTCATTGAATTCATGCAACTCATGAAACTAACAGTGCTTTGAAAAATGGGACCAGCTGACAGTGTGTCATGTCAGTTCGTAAAGTATATCACTGGTTTCTATTGGACCATTTTAATTTGTGTGAGTATTAACTCACAAACCCAATGTCAATATATGGATATATATATATATATATATATATATAATTGTTTTTACTCCAAATCAATGAGATCATGGGCTTATTGGCATCTGATGATGATGATAGAGAGAGTGTTCTTAATTGTGAATGTTCTCATAACTTTTGGGGGAAAAAGGAATGCCGTTGAACAGATAAATTCTGGTCAAAAATTGGATTTCCCTTCTTTTTATTCTTTTATCTTTCCTTTTTTATTTCTATTATTGTGTCCAGTATTAAAACAATTGATGGAGAAATTTTGGCCTAGAAAATGAACTTTGTATGTGCATATATATGAATATACATGTTCAAATATATATATATTTGAATGTATACCTAAGTTTTTATGTTCATATTTGTGATTCATTTGAGACTTTGCTAGTGTTAATTTTGAAAATCAATTAAATAAATAAAATCAGATTCAATAAGGTTGATTGGGAAGAATCACCAAATACAATAATAATAATAATAATAATAATAATAACAAAAAATTAAGTTGTATTAATAATAGATGGAAGGATTAAAGAAATTCAAGTAAAGAGGATTTTTTTATTTAGAAAGTTGAAAATACTAAATGTAAAAAATACAATTTTAATTTTAAAGAAAATTCTAAAGAAAGTTATAAAGGGGATAAAGGTAGAGATGAAGGAGGTTGAAAGAGTAAAGGAGGAAAGAAGGGCGCCACATTTAGTTGATATACAAGCAAATTTTAAGTATGTGTATATGGTAGTGAAGGTTTCTACTGTTTTTCATTTTTATTCTTAAATTCAATGTTACCAATTAAAGAATTTTAGAAAAAAGAGCCAAATGTGCTAAGATGGTTGATAAATCACAACCTCTGATAAACATCAATAAAAAAGTAAAATTAAATTTTAGGCTGCTGCATTTTCATAAGCACGTTTTCTAAATTAGAATTACATGTACCATAGATGTGAATGAAAAATAATATGAAATAAATAAAAGCATGCAAAAATCATGGATGCCAAGATGCAATACGTTTTTTTTTATCATAAAGATTCTGGTTAATTCCTGGTTTTTTTTTAAACATAATTTACTTATATTATTACTGAATTTTGATTGAGGATGAGAAATACCATTTCTTCAATTCCAAAGGTTATCATTTAATTATGA